CCAATGTTTTTACCTCTTTAATCTTTTTACCCTCCTCTGTTCAGTCCTCAAATTCCATTTTGTCATTTAACCTGATAACCCACATTTTGGTTGTCATGGAAAACAACATCCTGACTTGTGAACTGGGTTGTTGCAGATTCCGCCCAGACCCCGCCGCCAGCCTCCCCAAGCCTCCTCTGAAACAGTGTCCCTGATGGCCACACGTCCCTTCATAGTGAAGAGGGAACCAGGGCGAACAGGGCCGCCACCCCCTCTCAGACATGATTAGAACAGGGCAGATTCGTTGACGGCAGCCTTACCTGGCTTTAATGAAAATGCATTTTTATTTTACTATTCCAACGGCCATAGCGTCAGGGTCAGAATTAGGATGAACTAGGGAACAACCTACATTTTCTTGATCATAATATGTGAAATGCATGATTTCTCTCTGTCTCTGCCTCTTTTTTCGAGTGGGGTTTCACTCTGTCACTGGCATACACTGGCGTGATAACAGCTCCCTGCAGCCCCGACCTCCTGGGCACAGGTGATCCTCCCGCCTCGGCCTCTGGAGTAGCTGTAACTACAGGTGTGTGCCTCCCCACCTGACTATTTTTTTCTAGAGACGAGATCTCACGATGTTGCCCAGGCTGGTCTTGAACTCCTGGGCTCAAGGGATCCTCCCACGTTGGCCTCCCAGAGTGCTGGGGTTACAGGTGTGAGTCTTTGTGCCTGACTTATGCCCTGCATAGTTCTTAACTATGATTTTAAAAACAAGCCGGGCTCGGTGGCTCAGCCTGTAATCCCGCGCCTTTGGGAGGCTGAGGTGAGTGGATGGCCTGAGCCCGCGGGTTCGAGACCTGCCCGGGCAGCTTGGCGAGACCTCGTCTATACAATAAATCAAAAAATTAGCCGGGCATGGTGACACGCGCCTGTAGTTCCGGCTACTCCGGAAGGCTGAGGCGGAAGGATCGCTGGAGCCCAGCAGGTCGAGGCTGTGGTGGCCGGGAGCGGCCACTGCACTCCAGTCTAGGCAACCGGGTGAGACTCCAACTCAAAAAACAACAACAACAACAACAACAAAAACCAAAAACATGTATTTCCTGTGAATGGCACTGCAGAGTTTTTCTTTGTTGTCTAGAGACAACATGTTTGAAATTGTATTAAAAATCAAGGTGGTATTAGAACAGGTAAATGGGACTCTCTCGGACCAGTCAGAACAAGAGCGTATTAATTTTGTTACAAAAACATTTAGACAACCTCTCGCCTAAACCGACGGGTTGAATATGGTATGCCAAAAGTGGAGTTGGCTGGGTGCGGTGACTCACGCCTGTCATCCCAGCACTTTAGGAGGCAGAGGTGAGAGACTGCCTGAATCCAGGGGTTCGAGACCAGCCTGGGCAACGTGGAGAGACCTTGTCTCTACAATAAAAATTAAAATATTAGCTGGGCGTGGCGGCACGCACCTACTTGGAAGGCTGAGGTGGAAGGATCGCCTGAGCCCAACAGGTCCAGGCTGCGGTGGACGTGAGCATGCCCCTGCGCTCTAGCCTGGGCGACAGAGCGAGACTCCTACTCCAAAAAAAAAAAAAAAGGGGAGTTTTTCCTAGTCAATGGTCCTTACCTTTCTAGTTCAGTAAATTTTTATCTCATCCAGTACGTAGATCGTAACTGGTCCCAAACATGCCCTTGACAGTTAGTCTGTCTAAGTCAAAATCACACCATGCATTTGTTTATCGTGTCCCTCTGGTTCTTTTAATTTGGCACAATGTCTGTGTCTTAGGATATGATCGTCAAAGGCCGTTATACGTCAAAATTAAAGACCCAGTTTCTAAAGAGAAACAAGAGTGGCGCTTTTGAAAACGTGGGCACAATCGTGAGCCGTGAACCTTTTTTTTTGCTGATTCACCTGTTTCTGATCGGCGCCGCTCTGGCAAAATCGCTCCTCCGCGCAGGAGGGCAGCGC